CCCTCGCTCGCCTTCGCCGTGCTGGAGAAGGAGCAGGAGCTAGGTACGGTGCCGGCGTGTCCTCCTCAGCCCTGTGTTTGGGGTCACCTGCTGTCAGTCTGTCAGAAACCTCCACTGAAGCACCCGCTCGCCAAAACCTCAGTGTGTCATGGACATACGTGCAGAGGGAGGCTCTGCTGTCGGGTGGGCGAGCAGCCGTGGGAGAGCATCTGCCCTTGTCGCTGAAGCAGGTGGTGGATTCCCCCTGCACCAGGAAGAGCATCTTCATTCCCAGGCGCTGCTGGCTGTGCCCTGATGGGGGATTTCTTCCTCCCTTCACCCAAGGATGCATCCTTCAGTGGAGCAGCAGAGCCCTCATCACCCTGTGCTTCGCTGCTGGGGCTTCACCTTAGGACTTTAAGTTAAGGAAGACTTGAACATTGCCGCTCCCTTGTTTGAAAGCGGCAGGTCTTACTGGCCTGGGGCTCCAGCAGCAGCAGGGGTTTCAGGGAAGAGGCTGAGGAGGGTGAACAACTCGAGTAAGGAGCAGCGCAGATTGCAAAGGGAACAAGGGCAGGGCAGGTTTAGTGCTGCGCGGAGCAGGAGGCGGAGAGGATGAGCTGAGAAATGGTGCCAGGACGGCTTTTCGGTGGGGCGTGAGGAGGAGAGAGAAGAGCAAACAGAGATGGTTGGTGGGTAGGGAGGGAGGGTCAAGAAGGAGAGCTGCTTAAAAATGTCTGGGGGCTGCCGGTCTGGGCAAAGTCTACACCTGTCTGTTTACTGCCAGAACTTTAAACCACAGTCATTTGCCCCGTGTTTCTGGGTATCCCTGTATATGCTGTGCTAGGTGCTGCATGGCAGGTCAAAGGTAAAGAACTAACACAGGCATAATTGGGAAGATATCGCTAGTTACTGACCCAGCATTAGCCGGGGTAAAATGGCACAGCTCCAGCGTTGCCTGCTTACACAGGAAATCTTGAGGCACTCTGCGCCTGGGCATCTGTCCTGGCTTTCAAATAAGAAAGAACAAGCCCTGTTGCTTCCTTGAAAGCTTTTCTGGCTTGCTCAAGTACGAGCACAGGTTCATCGTAAGCAGTCTTTTCACACCGAGTGCTTATGCAGATACATGGTCACTCAGGGTAGGTAGGAGCAACCGCGTGGGATCACATCAGTGGCTAACTCAGAATAGAACCTGTGAGCCCAAGCTCTCCCTTTAAATAGCTCCGTCAGCCAGGCTATACATTGCTCTTGAGATGTTACGTGTACGATATGAAGCGGCTTTTTATCCCCAAGACAGGACATACGTGAAGTCCTTAACAGTTGTGTGAGTGTGAAGCAGGAACGACCTTTGGGAGTCAATATGTTCAGAGGGAGAACCTGCCCAAATTACTTCAATAAAAATGTTTATGCTATTTTTCACCTCTATTTTACTGAGTTACAAAGAGCAGCCTAATCCAGTTCACAAATACTTGAAAAGCCTACCAGGCCTGCCAACATGTCCAGGAAAATTGAGGATTGCACAGACATTATGTTTTATGAGGCCTTTAGGGATACCTTTCATTTTAAAAATTGAACTTCTTATAATTAGTTTTAACATTTAACATATAATTAGGCTGAACAATTCTGATTGATTGGCCTGCAGTTGTAGCTCTTGGAGGAAAAACTCATGATTTAGGGTTTTTTTTTCTTTTTTTTTCTTTCCCCTGTTGATTCAATACATCGCAAGCTGTGATGGTTTCCTATTATCTAGGTCTTGCTGTGTCAGTGTTTTTTTAGCCTTTTGAGACAAGGGAGGAATTGTGTTTGCTGTGCAGTTACCTTATTTGAGCATCTCTTGTTGTAACGCTGATTTAGGGCAGTACCTCAAGTTATTCACTCTTCTGGCAGCTGAAGTAGTTAAGGTATGAACCAATCACGGGAACATGTGTTTTAATCACGTATTTTTCTTTCTGTTTAGCTCATCACCAGAGCGGACATAACAGTGGTGTGATTCACAGTGGAATTTACTACAAACCTGGATCTCTGAAAGCTAAGCTGTGTGTGCAGGGTGCAGCCCTTTGCTACGAGTACTGTGACCAGAAAGGAATACCATATAAACAGTGTGGGAAGGTATAGGAATTGCTCTGTGTTCTTACAGTACCTTTGGAAACTGAGACTGCATAATGTATGTTACAATGTATAGCATAGGCCTGGTTGTGGTCTTTCTCCCAAGAGATGAGTTTCTGCAGCTCTTACTACCTTCAGGATGAACGTGCCTTTTTTTTTTTCTTCTTCTTTCCAACAACTCAAATCAGTTCCTTTTCTGGGCCTAAATAATAACTCTCCTTATCTGGGGGCTGAGCTGAAATAGCCCGGGTAATGGTGGAAGCCAGGCCCTGTGGAGGGGCACCCGTGTAGAGCCACTAGCTCCAGGGAACACAAAGGCTCTCAGCATGCACGTGCCGTACTTCTTGGCATATCAGGCTCTGAAAAGACAAGGTGACTTGAAAACAGCTCCAGGGGTGACTCAGCTACATGTATTTATGCCATGTTGCATCCTGCTAACACAACCCGAAATGCTGAGGACAGAAGACTGATTCAGCTTGGGGTCTGCCCAACCCTATATTCTGTTTCTGGAAGTGTCTATAAACAGACCCAGGAAGGAATGAGAACAGGACAAGCTGTTAATTCTCCCAGCTTCCCACAGTTTTCAGCTCAGGTTATTTTTTGAGCCTGATCTGTTTTGTCTGTAGTGACTCTCACTGGATTTCTCTTCCAAGAGTTTTTCAATTAAAAGCTTTTGCATCAGAGCGCACTTTGATGAGCAGTTCCAGAGATCAACAACCCACTGCATGAAGAGTTACGTCATTTTGAAATGGGCTCCTACAAGCTTCATCTGATGGCCCCTAGCCCTTGGGTGGGAAGAGGTGATGAACAGTTGACCTGTGCTCACACTCACCAAGTGGCACATAATTTTATATCCCCTCCTGCCCCAAAGTCGTCCCTCCCAGCTGGTGAGTCTTAGTCTGCTCAGTCATTCTTAGAGAAGTTTTGTCCTGGCTCTCTCCACCCTGTCTTCGTTCTCTGAACCGTCTTTAGTTTAGTTCATCTTTGATACAAGATGAGGACTGCAACTGCGCACAGCATTCCGAGGGCTGGAGCCCCTCTGCTCTGAGGCCAGGCTGGGAGAGTTGGGGGTGTTCAGCCTGGAGAAGAGAAGGCTGCGGGCAGAGCTGAGTGTGGCCGGTCAGGGCTTAAAGGGGGCCCAGAGGAAAGGGGGGGACAAGCTTTTTAGTAGGGCCAGCTGTGACAGGACAAGGGGGGATGGCTTTAAACTGAAGCAGGGTAGGTTTAGACTGGATCTAAGGCAGAAATTCTTTCCAGTGAGGGTGGTGAAACCCTGTCAGGGGTTGCCCAGAGAGGGGGTGGAGGCCCCATCCCTGGGAACATTCCAGGCCAGGTTGGACGGGGCTGTGAGCAACCTGATGTGGTTCAAGGTGTCCCTGCTCCCTTCAGGGGGGTTGGACTAGATGACCCCTAGGTGTCCCTTCCAACTCAAAACATTCTATGATTCTATGATTCAAGGTGTGGTCAGACTCTGGATTTGAGCAGTGAAATAGCAGAGTCCTCAGTATTATCCTGCATCCTTTTCCTAGTTGTTCCTAACATTCACTTTAGGGCTTTTCAGCTGTCACTAGGCATTGAGCTGATGGTTCTGTGGGATTGTCTTGGTCCTGAGGGATAACTTTGAATGAGGATTCCATCATTTTGTGTGTGAGGCTGAGGCTGCTTTTTGTATGATCGTAATTTCACATTTATCTGCGTTGAATTTCATCTGCCATTTTGCTAGTTCACCTTGGAAGGTCCCTCTGCGGTTCTTTACAGTCAGCTCTTGTCTGAACTACCTCTGAGTCACTTTAAACCATCATCTGACTTGCTCACCTCCCTGCCCCTTTTCCAGGTTGCTCATAAACATTTTGGATAGTGTGAGCCTTTCTCTTAAAAGTGCAAGGTGGACCCTATCTGGTGTGACAAGCGCCACTTCAAGGCCTCCTAGCTCAGCACGCGCTGTGGGTGCAAATCTGTCCCAGCCCTGGGGTGCAGAGCAGAGGTCCCTGGATGTGGCAGTGCTGATAGAGCCTACAGCAGTGCGAGCGGTGTTTGTCCTGGCCTGGCTGCGCACACTGCTGTGTTCGTGCTGTGCTCCCTGCGCAGCAGCGTTGGTCACAAGATGGCACTGTGCATTTGTGCAGCAAGACACCTGAAGCCACAAGCCTGCTCTCAACTCAGGGCACCAAGACCAAGACGTGCTCTGTAGGAGTCACTTTGGGCTTGGGCAGGGCTAGCACTGACCCAGCAGCATTGTTGGTCCTTTGCTGACACTGAATTTGTGTACTTCCACATTGCCTTCCCCAGCAGTGTTTACTCCAGGGAAGATGGTGTTGAGGCTTTACAGCTAGTTCTACATAAAGCAACCCCAGGCTTGGAGAACTTAGTGCCTTCTCAATGCAAAGATGCCTGTGTTGCCAGACCTGAGCTAG